TTCCCGCAGGGAGACAGTCGTGCGTTCACTCGCCTTCCACATCGTTGACGCCCGCATGACGCCTTCCTTCTCGCAGAACTGGACATCTCCGCGAGCCCGACGCTCGCCGCCGACGCGTTGGTAGAAGGGCACATCATTCCCCAGGTGTGTTATCTTCGACGAGGGGCATTGGCGCACACAACCTGACCGCACAATGCAGATCGGTATCCAGGTCACCGCGCTCGGCGGGATCGCGTCCGCGATGGTCTTCCTGCAGCTCGACGCGTACGCAGAGGTCAAGCTCACCTCGAACGCGACGCAGCCGCAAGGCATCCCCGGGCAGGACAGCTCGGGGTACATTCCCCCGCCCCCAAGCGAGTGGGCGACGGAGGGCTGCCTCGACATCAGCACGACGCTCGACGTCGGCGCGGGTGTGAAGGGCTCCTTCTTCAACCTGCTCAACGAGCAGCAGGTCATCTCGCTGTGGAGCCGCACGTACGACCTGTTCACGGTGAGTCCCTGTACTGTCCTGTGCGCGGCGCGTGCTGATGCGGCGTGCTAGAAATGCTTCACTGGGCACGCCGGTTCCGGTGCGGCGCGCACCCCATCGTCGAGGAGGTCCAACTCGCTTGACTTGTACAAATCTAAGCTCAACAGGCGGGCTGATATCGCGTGCCATTTCTTCCTCCCCACGGCGGAGGCTCTTGTCGAGACGATGATTCCGGGCATTTAAGCCCTTAATAATATCACTTATACCCCGACCCCCCTACTCGGGTCCTTTTCGATACCCCTCGTCCCACCACTGTGCAGCAGCTTTGAGAAATTGTAGCGAGCGGCTTGGTGGCAAGATGTTTTCTTTCTACCTTTCTTCGTTATTCTCTGAGCGTTGCTGATGACGCGAACACTCATGTACTTACAACCGACGCTCGAGGGACGTAGCCCGTCGGCCCTGTCCAACACGGTCAGGTGCAGACCATCCTGGGGTCCGCACGCCAAGATGCAAGCCTTTTAGGGGGGGCGAAGGACAACAGACTAGGTGAGCGGCGCCTCAACTTATACCGTCAGTCTCGCCGAAACACTTACATACTGTATTACTTACGTGACGTTGGTTTTTTCCCGTCTCCTGGCTACCGAGATCTGCTGATCTGCAAGCTATCCGTATGATTGTCCGTGCTTCCTTGATGAGTATCTCTGACCTTCGTGTTTCAGCCCCGTATCCCCTCCCTTCGCAGATACTCATATTGACATACGTTGCCGACAATGAATGCACAGACGCATACTGGGCGCGCGCGTTGCTATGGCTTTCTGCGGACTGCATGGCTACCCATTCTTCGCACTTGGTTGGGAGTACTTCGACATGCAGCATCCTTCGAGCAATCTTTTACAGTGCATGGGAGTCATCGAGCTTTTTCATCGGCGGAAGAAGATTAGACGGATCGGTATCCGAACCGCGGCAAGGCTTGCTCGAGACCCCAACCTTGCTGGCGGCGCATCGCTGCCGAATCAAACCTTGTGACAAATGCCGAACCTCCCTGAGGTCGCCTTCTGTCACTAGTCACTGCTGTCAGAGCTCGCCAGTGCGTACCATTGATTCTGTTCCTTCGGTCAGTGCGTCTCTGCCCGAGCCACCATCAGTGGCGACGTGCTTGAATTTATATTGGATTGTGGGGTATTGGATCCGGGATCTGGCACTGTTCGGGCAGGACGGATCGATTTCACGTCCGGTGGCGGTGCGCGCGATCTCGCACGCGGCATCTGGCACACGACCACCTCTGCCTCTCGCGTCCGCTCGGTTAGTGTTTATTATTAGAATAACTTGGGATCGTTCGTATCCTCGAACTCGTCGAAGCTCAACTTCATCAGGCCATCAGCAGAGCCTCTCGCTTCAATTGAAGAGGTTTGAACAGTTTCTCTTCTCTTGCTGGACTTGTGCGATTGCTAGAAACTCAGCTGTCAATATTCCACAGCTCGTTCATTCTTAGTCCCAGATGCTCGGAAATGGCCTGGGGACAGATCTTCGCAATGACGTGGGAGACGAGCTCAAGTACGTGGCTTACGCTGTCCTTGATGCAGTCAAGAAGATATCGCCACCGATTCAAGCACCGACACTGCCCACCTTCACATCGGTCGGGTATGCCACGGTGAGGGCGCGCTCGTCCCCGGCCGTTCTCTCAGGATCAGATGAAGCACACGAGCGACCAAGTCTGCGCCGCCGGGAGCCTTTCCAGCGCTATACTTAGTACGTGTGGATCAACCATCAAAATCCTTCACTGATTATTCCTTGCGGTTTTGCGCGCGGAACGTGTGATGGAGCCTGTGCTCTGCTTCTCCCGCCGGCCAATATACAGTCGTCAGCGAGCCGTAACTTGGACTGGCTTTCGTATAAAGCTGCTGGCATGCGCGCTCGATTCTATACAGCCTAACGCCTCACGTCCCGGTGACCGCCTCCCGTTTCCCTTCAAGCTACTTTCGTTCACTCGCTGCTTCAGTCGGCACATTCGTTCTCCTAGCACACTCTCATTACGCCTGACATTCATTTTCGCTCACAATTACGGACCGAAATTATGGCACCCTTCTCCACCCTCACTACCATCTCCCTCTTGGCCATTGCGGCGCTCGAAGTATCCGCGGCCAATGACTGGAATGTCCCTTGTCTCCAAGGCCAGTGCTCGTGGGATCTCCCCGGAGCCGCCTCTGGATCGCTCCAGATTGTTGGTTTGCAGATCATCCTGTTCCATCCGCGCCTGCTCACCCATAGCCACATAGTGGGGATCTTCCGGCGCTATTTCTGATATCACTCCAGCAGCTGGATGGAAGATTATCGACTGCGACCCCAACGCGATGGAGCAGAATATTCGCTTGGTCTGCATGAGTGGCGGCGAGGCTGGCTGTGGCCACGTCTTTGAAGGCAACCCCGAGGGCAAGATCGTCCGTCTGCCAGAGAACGTATGTGCTTCCCCTATGCGTACGACGTGTTTAGACGTGCTGCTGATCATTCTCAGTGCGGGCGCATGCCGTTCGCTCGCGTAGCAAAGTCGTGGGTACCCGACGATCAATCGATGCCGTCTGGTATGCATTCTCGCCAAGATACATCCGGGCAGATCCAGGCTCTGGCACTGGACACGAACTTCTCCGCCACGGACCCCGGACAGTAAGCTAACTCCAATGCCAATCGTTCCTTTTTTCTCAACCGGTTACCCTGTGTAGAAATGGAAATGTATCATTCGCCATACAGGGTACCTCAATTCCTGGCGACAATGGCGATTTCAATATCACTGCACCGGGTCAGCGTCGCCGGTATCACTCGCGCTCCATGGAATCCGCGAGTGCTATGAGGCAGCGACGGAGCTTCATCTCCGACGCTCTCCACAGTAGGCGACATCTCACGGCATGCTGCTTAACTATTCCTAACGGACTCATCTGCAGAAATCTCGTCTCTCACGAGCTTCAACAAGACCCTCACCCAGTCTTTGCCCCCTGTCAACATCGACAAATCGGCCACCTTGCTGAACACGAACATCAACTGCCCCGCCGACCAGTTCAATCCTGCTTCGTTCAGCGCCTCTGCGAACATCAACGTCGAGGCAAAGGTCAATGCGGTCGTGCAATTGGGCGTTGTAGCTGCCGGCACCGTCGTCCCGCCGAAGATCAGCGAAATCGGTATTTTCGCGGGTCCGTCGCCTTCGCTTATGTGGATGGCTTCACTGTCTGATTTATAGAAAACTGAACTCTCAGGATTGAACGGAGACATCGACAGCACGCTCAACATCCAGGCCAATGCGCTCGGCTCCTTCAGCTCTGGCACCATAACCGTCTTCCAAGTCGGCATTCCGGGTCTGGACTTCCCCGGGTACGTTTTGCTCTTATACGCGAACGACTGGCGGCTGATGCCTGCTCTATCCAGTATCCTGAGCTTAGGCCCCGAGTTCGTGGTCAACGCCGACGTCACCGCCAACTTGCAGCTCGATGTCAACGCTGCTGTTGACTTGGCATTCAACATCAACAACGCTCAGCTACTCTTCCCTCCCAACGAAGGCAGCAGCGGTGGAACTTTCACCCGCAGCAACAGCCGTGAGTTCCCTCGATGCATAAGTCACCCTATATCTGAGCCTGACGCTTGACCACCACCGGCTTGTAGAGCTCTCCATCTCCACCAGCCCCACCCTCGACGCCGCAGCGAACGTCGAAGGCCATCTCATCCCCACGGTACGCCCGCACACGAGACGCGCGCGACGCCACGCAGCTAACGCACTCCCGCAGCTCAACATCGGCGTCAACGCGCTGAACGGCGCCGCGGAGGCCACCGTCTTCCTCGCGCTCGACGCCTCCGCGACGATCGCGCTGAACACCACCGCCCAGGCGCCGCTCAGCGCGTCCACGAGCGCCGGCGCCAGCGCCGGCGTGACAGCGCAGGGCTGCGTCGACGTCAGCACGGCCCTCAACGTCAACGCCGGCGCGACCGCCAACTTCCTCAACCTGTTCGACCAGTCGAAGACCGTGTCCCTCTTCAACCAGAACTTCGACCTCTTCCAGGTGCGATGCCCCGCTGACCCCTCGCCCGGCGTGTGCTGACTGCTCGCGCGCCAGAAATGCTTCACCGGCTCCGCCAGCACGGGGAAGCGCGACTACCAGGTGCACGGGCGGCGCGCGATGGCTTCTCGCGACATCGTGATGCACAGCGCGCGCGACGGCGCGACGTGCCCGAGTGCCTCCCCTCCGGCATCTGGCAGCCTAGTCAACCAGCTGATCTCCGCTTAGATGTCTGCCCCGCGCAGGCTTTCCTTCAATCCGTGTCTATAGTTAAGTTATTGGGTGGCAATGTTGTATGTACTTTCTATAGGCGGTCTCGTGCGTTAGCGCAGAGGCTACTTTATACCCTGATGGACTCAGTTGTCGTATTTATGTAATGCATGTTTTCCTTCTTTTTTTGGGGGGGTTTTCCGAGTCCCCTCTGAGACGAGGGATCACGAGAAGAGCTGCGTCACTGGCTTGGACCGCAGTTTAAGAGCTATGATGGTCATACACCGGTGGTGAAACGGTATCATGCTTGCCTTCCATAAGGATTTGCTCTCCCTGTAGCTCAGCAAGCGGCACGGGTTCGACTCCCGTCCGGTGTATACTCCTGCCCGTTGCAATAGGTTTTTTCTTTGGGCGCGTGCTTGGCCCGTTCCCCTCTGACTTCCAAAGTACTTCACGTTAACGCTTGTTCTCCCCCTAATTGTGAAGTTTGACCGCGAGTCCCACCACTCACCGAACTGCTTTAGAAGTTGCTGGAAAGTCTCGACGGCCCGTCAGTGCTGTCAGCTGGCAAGTCGTCCCTTACTCGTCTCGTCAACCACACGACACATCCAGTTCCTCCAGGTGTGTCAAAGGCTACGGGACGGGCCTCCCGCAAGTTTGAGTACACGTTGGAAATGGTGGTTATAGTACAGACGGTACGCAAATGCCATACAGCCCCTCTCTATTCGCCGGCCTCCTTCCCCCGATCTGCATGCCAGCGTCTCCCCCGCACCGGCTCCTCAGGATCTTGAGGTACGAAGGTTGATCTGCTCGGCCACTCTGCCCGAGCCTCTGGGCGACCACGTCTGTCGCACGGCTGCCGTCAAAGCTCCACGAAATATGGGCCAATTCGGCTTCGGTTTTTGGGAATTGCGCTACGGCTCGGAATCCAACTGCAGATCGTCAAATTAGCTACCGACGCCTCCCGGGATGTGCTAATGGCTCTCCAACACAGCAACACTGCATACTCGGTATCGACGTAACCCTGCTAACAAGTCTATGAAACGCTGAGTAGATGTTCTGCGCGAGAAATACAATAAAGTAGAAGCTCACCTTGCAGAAGCGTAAGTTGGAGGATTTAGAAATTAGATCCTCAGGCGGCTTCGCAGCGAAAGGCTGAGAGGGACCGGCGCTTAGCAGAACACCGAGACCCCAGACACCGGTTGCTCTGTTCTCGTTATCGCATTTTGGACTGTCCTTACTCTTGACCACCATGTCGAAGGCCTCTTCTCTCCTCCTTATGCCAGTGGAACTCACAGTCAAAGTTTTTTCGAGGCTTGACTCACAATCTCTTCTTTCTGTCCAACTGGTACTGTTCGATCTAGTGGTGACATCGAACTCGCCGGTTGATTTTAGTACAGACGTGTAGCAGGCTGCATGATATCATTGCGCAGTCTCCTCTCCTGCAATACGCAATCGGACTCACCGCGGCGGGGCTATGCGACAATCCGGTGGACCAGACGCCCGTTGCTGCGCGGTTGGACGCGTTGAAGAGATACGAAAGAGGTTGGAACGATCTGTTGCTTCCGTCTCTACCCCCGACGTCCCTCCAACCTGGGAACAGCAATGTACACATCCTCTCTGGAAATGTCTTGGCTTGCATAGATGCCGACGAGGAGCCTAAGACCGTATCTGCAATGCTGATACCTTCAAACCTGCGTGGGATTGCGCATCGGCGCTGGAGCCTAACCTTCCAGTTCACGCTACACGACCTCATCTTTGACGCCTTACAAGATTTGCTGATCCTCGTCAATCTTGATCAATTGTTCGTCGCTTTGACCTGCATGACGTAGTATGATGCGCTGACCCCCATTCAGGAACCCCATGCTGCACATCCGTTTATTGTCGACGGGAGACCTTCATCCATCAGCAACTCAATCTGCCATTCCGATTCTTAACGGAAACCCGATTCGTGGCACTGGACGGGTCTGTGGCGACTACGTTGCCCTATTCGTCGTACCAAATACGTCTGAAGGCAGGAACGTCAGGGTGCTGAACTGGAAGACCGGCGAAGTCGTAGCCCAGTGGGTGAGATACTCTCCTTTCGCATGCTTCCATCTTCTGAATTGCGCAGCTTTGCTCACGCTCTGGCGTGCCGTCGATATTCACCTCGTTCTCGTTTCTCGACGATCGCCACATCATGGTGCTCAGCACACGAGGACGGAATCCTCCGCGCCTGCAGTTGTACAGCTTCCTGGAGCCGGGAACGTGCTGCGAATTTGTCTTGCCCGACGGCATATGCATCCCGCCCCGCGTTGTGCTCCAGTTTTGCGAGAACACGGCTCCTCATCGGCCTAAAGACATGCACCAGTTGGGACCGTTCTTCACAGATCCCGCCGAGAGACTCGTTGCCATCTTCGTCGCCTTATCCGGTCAGGACAATGTTTACATCTTCGCATCGTCGCGGACCCTACTCTCCTTCACTCGCGGCGAGACGTCTCTCGTATCGTGGGAAAGTGGCTGGGGCTCCCGTCCCGAGATGTTTCCTCGAGGATACATCATGGTGTATGGCATGAAGGTCATGCGTTGCTCGTCAGCGGGCATCTTTTTTGTTCACGACTTTCATCCGCGTCGCGTCGCCAGGGCCTTGCGGCGCGGTGGTCAGCACGAACATAGCGACTCATCGTACGACGACCGTCAGATGAGCTTGCCATGCTATGTCACCGAAGCGGAGCTTCCAGTAGGATTGAGGGGTCGGGGCACGGTATACCACATCACTGAAGATAGTATCGTGGTTGAAGTGGTACGTGTTTCATGTCAGACCCGCCTTCCGGTACTTACTTCTATTTTAGAAAGAACACCCAACTTCAAGGCTTTCGTTACTGTCCTTCTAGTGCGATGTCACGATATGTTGACCATCCGTACATCCGCCTCTGGTATGCACTTCGCCAATCCGATGCTCTATGCGTTCACCTGTTGTCTGGCTATCGTATAGGCTCGTATTGACGAGGCGCAACTTTCAGGCTATGATGGGACTTGGTTGTTACATACATGATACCGTGCGGATGTTTTTAGAGACGGTGGCAGCTAGACGCCATGAGCGAGAAATAGGTTCGATTAAAGATCAGCAGTGACTGCTTCATCGCAGCTGGTCGCTCTTGTCAATTTCAAGCACACCTCCAGCGTCCTCCACTCATAATATCCTTGTCTATGTCCACTCGTATATTTGCGGTTGTCTCCTGATGTCAACCTGCCCGTATCTCCTCGGATTTCGACATATACAGACATGACCCTCGTCGCGCAGGTATTTGTCCATCGTCAACGCGCGCTCTCGGAGAATGGCCTGCGGCAATCTTCAGGGCGATGAGCCCTACGAGATATCCCAGAGCCTCGTACGATTATTGGCAAACGTAAGATATTGACGTTAGCTATTGCAGGCCGTCAGAAAAGGGCCTCAAGCCATTTCTTCGTCGTACGGCTCCGGGACACCTCTTGACCACGTGAACGTCTCCACAACTACGGTATACCTCTCCCTGAACGCTGTGATGCAGTAATTGTGATAGGTCTGCACATCCAGAGTCTGCCAGAGGAGGCCGGCGGACTTGAGGCACGTCGATGTCCCTGTACGCCAAGAGCGACTGCTCCAAAGTAGTGTACCACCCGGTCCTCGTTTCCTCGTCGCACGAAGAACACGACGTGTCCTCGGCATACAGGGTCGAAGGCCAGGAAATGCACCCCCTCAGCACCTGCCGTCTCTTCCGCCCCGACAGGCCCCGGGCCTCGCGCCGTATCGCGTCCACGAGTCCCTCGAGGATGGCCTGCGTGGCGTCGTTGGTGCCAACCCGCACCGTATGCAGGTAGGGAATGTGGCGGAACACCGTCCGCCACGTCGCGACCAAGGCATCCGCAGTAAATATCACGCCTGTGAGATTGAGGTCGGCGACGTTTCCGAGGGGCACCGCGTTGAGCACGCGGGACGTGGCTGCGCGCTGGGCGCGCTTTGTTTCGGCGTAGATGACGAGGGACACGTGCGGGATGGGGTATGGCACGTCGCATGAGAAGAAAAATCCTTTGCAGGATGGGCGGGTGTCGGCGGAGATGATGAGGCAGCGCTTGTTTGCCCTGATGTTTAGAGAGCGCAAGGTCGGTGCGTCGGGTGCGCGGAGATGTCGACGGACGGGGATCAGGAGACTGGGATCTCGTGTCCACGACGGGTGCCGCACACGATCAGAGACAGGGACGTTGTCGAAGACAAAGACACACAATGCATCAAGAGTTTCAAGGCCTCAATGTGAGCGATTAAGTCGAGGTTTCGGAGGTGTGGGAGAGCGATCGGCTCGTGCTGAAGATGTACGTATTCCAGGACTTTGAGGACGTCTGTGTCTCTGGGAAGACAGTTCCAGAGCCTCAGTTGCTGGAGGTGAGGCGACCGTTGGAGGATAGATAACAAGTCATCGAAGTTTGCGGCTGGGAAACCAGGGCGCGGCTCGCACAGAGAGAGATGGGTCAAGTTGGAGAGGAGTTCCGACTGTGTGAAGGTGACGTTGTGAAGACGGAATGTGTGCAGGCGTGGCCATCCGTTTTCGAAGAATAAGGCGCGCAGGGTCCAGTCGCCAACTTCCGTCAATTAAATATCCAGGCTTTCAAGAATCGGAAAGCTATTTCCGTCTTGTAAAGCTGTGTTCATATAGTTTTGGTTCCCCCTCATCTCCAGCAATCGAACGCGGTGGGCAAAGTCGCCGAAGAACAGCCTCACTTGGCTGCCGTCATTGAGCACACAGTCGAATATGAGGGACCTCAGTGATGCCGGCGTATAGGGCCTACCGGGAGGTAGGGCCCTATACAGTGGGCGTCCCCTCTATATAGAGGGGGTCGCGACCGCCTAAGGACGCCGGCGCACGTGCTCTCAGCACGGTCCGGGCGGTCCTGACGCGTTGACGCGTCGCGCGCGCCTACGCGAGCGGCGAAGTGGCGGGGTAGGGAGGGCGGACGGGGTCGCAGCAACGTAGAAAAGACAGACTTTCATAGCAGACTATATTGTACATACATTGAATGGAACCCAGAACACTTCTCCACGCGTGTAGACCTACACAAAAATCAGCGCGCATCGAGTAAAGAGAAAATGGATACGCACCTAACCGCTCCAGCTCACAGCGCGACGACGGGGAACGCGACGACCGGCAAGGTCAGGGCGTAGACCCAGCCGTCGGACGCCCTCCACTGGTGAATCCTCCTCTCGAGGATGGTGGCCGGCGCAAGGCCGTTCGGGGCCTGCACCATCACGACCCTTCCAGTCGCCGCGTTGATCACCCACTAGGGCACGGCGTCAGCTCGCATGAGAACATGCAGGACGCGGACTCACCATGAATTCGCCGTCGGCCTCGATCCCAGGCCACGT